GTGTGTGTGTGTGTGTGTGTGTGTGTGTGTGTGTGTGTGTGTGTGTGTGTGTGCAGAGCCTATCAAAAATACTCTTGTGGGGAGGTGAGTTCCTCACACTAAAACAAGGACAAATGTCCGCATATGTTTCGTTTTAGAATTATCAAGTTTAAAGAAATTTATGGTAGATGGTCGCTGTATTGCCATTGGAGACTAGGTTACATTTGTCCTTCGTGTACATTTGTGGCTACTTTGTTTTCAACATTTGTCGTGTGCTGTAGTGAGTTAACTGAGAAGTGTTCCGTTTTACAATGACAGGATATTCATATCGTGAGCAGGCAGATACGATTTTTAGGTACGGCCACACGAATGTTAATGGAAGCGAGGCTACACGGCTGTATCAGATTGCGTTTCCATATCAAAGACAGCCGAGTCATCTAAAATTTGCTTCTGTTTATCGTCGCGTTGCTAAGATAGGCTCCGTGTCACCACAAACTATGGACTGAAGATAACCGGCATTCACTCGTTCGCCTGACCCCGAACACATTCGACATGGCCTTTTGAACATATTTTTTATGGACATTTTACCTCGTCCTAGTGTCATAAAGCCACCACCAAAGTTTTTAAAAAGTATTTTTGATAGACCATATATATATATATATATATATATATATATATATATATATATATATATATATATATATATATATATTCTTAATATCCATCATTTTTCCCTTTGGCGTCTGTTCAAAGCACCAAACACTTCAGATATCTTTCTTTGATGCATACTAACTTCAAGTCATATATGATGGTCTTTGAGGGCCATGAGAAATGAGGGCCATATTATAACTCCCCACATCTTCCCATACGGACTCAGTGTCAATGACACTTGCTACATAGATTTGCTTGACAGTGCCTAACCTGTCGATCGTGAGGATGGCCATGTTTTTCAACAGAGCTATATTTCATTCGCCCTGACTCATATAACCCGAGAATGGTTGATCGGGAATTTTTCATCATGTTATTTCCAACATGAAAACTACCATTATTCTTAATGTCCAGTATCTTTCCTCTCTGTTGACTTCCAAGCGCACCATATTCATGAAATATTTTTCTTTCATTATCCATTCGTTTTTCTTATTCCCGTTTACCATTCTTGCAATCAATATCTTGAACATTCTTAAAACCAAATTCCATTTCTTACCTTTCTAAAGATGTTAATGTTTTTTTTCGAATTTTATAAAGTGGTTTTCGCGCAACTCAAAATAATTTTAAAATGTCTGTTCTCAGATTAAGCCATTCATACAACCGAAGGTAATATATATATATTAAGACATTTTTATATTTATATAATCTTTTTATAGATACAAATATTTAAGTAAATGTTCTGTTTATAATAAACAACATTCACCGGCCTGACTGTTCGAGAAATTTTCACAGAAAATATTCGTCCTCCGACAGGATTCGAACCTATATCCTATAAGGAACCGTCATTTAGCTTGACGTGCCTTTAACCGATTTGGCCACAGAGGAGAGTTCGTTTAGCAAGGTCGAATTTACTGCATTTGAACTTCAATCTTCTATGAATCTCTCACGTATATTCATATCTACTGGCGTATCAAATGTAAACAAATATATATATATATATATATATATATATATATATATATATATATATATATATATAAAAGGCAGGATGTGAGTGTGTCTGTGTGTGTGTGTGTGTAACGAATGCACGGCCGCAATTTTTTGACGGATATGCACCAAAATTTACATGCACATGCTCCAAGTTAGCAGGAAGGCCAAGACCGACTTCGCATTTCCAAACTCCCATCGATTGTGGAAATAATCGATTGTTTCATGCTTCTACGGCAGTTTTCATGTAGTTTGCGGCCATTTTCTACTGGTCAGGTGAGAGCCTATAGCTGGCTGACACGAATAGGCTGGAAGATTCTATTGTTCAGCGTGAGCCAACAGCTGACTGACACGAATCTTAACTAGCATGCAAGCATGCAAAAAAAACCCCAAAAAAACCGATAGCTGCATTCGTCACAATTGGGAAAAATTTAAATCTGCATGGCACTTTACTCTAATTGGCTCATTCGCTTGCTTAAACTCAACGTTGATTCTGATTCCGCAGAACTGGGTTGGGTGTGAAAAAAGTATGTTGTTAACATTCTTTTTCATTCTGTTTTCAGTGACGAGTCCTTTTTTTAAAGCTGATCGTTTTGTGTTCATTTTGTTTAGTTCTTTTTTTCGTAACAGATTTAATGTTTAGTATAGAGCATAGAAAAAATTCGCAGTTTGAGATAGGCAAGAAGTAAGGCATGTAGCAACATCAGCACAGAAAAGGGCACTCCTTTAAAGGCAAGAAAGGGCAAAATATTTTAAGTCAAGTGATAGCGATTGCTGTATGAGTCGTACGATTTTTGAATCAAGCACGGGCAACGCCGGCCCATGCTGCTATATATATATATATATATATATATATATATATATATATATGTGTGTGTGTGTGTGTGTGTGTGTGTGTGTGTGTGTGTGTGTGTGTGTGTGTGTGTGTGTGTGAAAAGAAACCAAAACAAATATTAAGGCCTAGGCTATTATAAATACAGATGTCTTGAATAGCATAATGTTATCCCCCACAACTAACTGTGTCGTGCTAGACAATCTTTCGCCACTGCTTTGAATATTTCTGCTACATATTGTCCGACACTTCTGTTATATATTTAGAAATTTTTGATAAAATCCAAAGCATAATCCTCATTATAATTATAAATTATCTGGCATCTCGGCTTCAGTCACTTCACCAAAACCGTAATGTAGTTTTCCTCAGCCTTTTTTATAACTTCCCTCCATTAATTGAGAGACCCCTCTCTGCCTTCCGTCAACATGACTGATTACAACCTACAAGAAAGTGACTCATTGCGCTTCTCTGGCTAACATTCTCATCTGACATGAAGTGGAAAGACTATATTGAATCCATTGCTAGGTCAGCTGCTAAGAAAGTCGATTCACTGTGTCAGGCGAGACAATTTTTCTCTCTTGATTCATATCTTTAAGTTTATCATTCGTACGTGCTTAGAGTATTGCTGCCATAAATGGTCCGGTGCCCTGCTATTTACCTGGAGCTCCTCGATAAGATCCAAAAAAAGAATCAGCAATATTATTGTTCCTGATCTGGTTGCCCGGCTTCACTTATTTGTCCACCGCCGGAAGGTGGCCTCGCTGTGCTTTTTTTTTTTTTTTATAAATACTTTAATAGTAATTGATCCGATTTGATTTTCGCTACGGTATCTAGCTTGTACGATGTTAAACCCAATATTCGAGATCTCATCAATTTACAGTTGAGCTAACTAGATGTAGCCGTAGCTTCTACGATTATCTCGCACTTCTCGCTTGTGGAACTCCCTTCCCGTCCCATGCTTTTCAGCCAACTTTAATCTGCAAAAATTGAAATGCAATGTCAATCGCTATCGACTGTCCTCCCGATTACTCTTTTCTCTTTCTTCTCATTACTAATGTTTCTGATCCTAATCCCCCCACAACCCTGTAACCCCTTGCGTTTTTGTGGTTGTATTGTCTTGCTTGAGGTGATATCGATTAAAATTACTTTCATAATAAGTTTTCTGATAAGCTTTTCGCTATGGTTCTTAGACTTTATGAACTTCAACGAAGTACTAAATTGGTAACAAGGTTTCACCAATTTACACTTGAAATAGCTAGATGCAACCGCAAGTTCTATGCTAACAGTTTCATCTCTCGCACTTTTCACTGGTGGAAATCTACTATATTCTTTATTAAACTTCTATCGTTCTAACTCCTTAATAATGTTTCTGTTTCCGTCTTCCTTCACACTCAGTAACCCCTTGTGTCTTAGTGCGTTTAGTGCCTTGCTTGGAGGGAAATTACTAAAAAAATATATCAGTGCAGACATTATTCTTTATAACTTCAAACGTTATTTTTAGTGGATAGCCGTATTTGAGTAGAGGCCCCGTTTTAAACAGTGTGTCTACCGGTCTGCGCACTCGAGAAAACTCAATAAAGAAAATGTATTTCTCCGGAAGGTTTCGAACTCGTATCCCCCGCTTGATAAAAGAAACTGCACTGATTTCTGGAGACAATACAAAATCAGCATAAAGATAGATTTCACCGAAGGACAGCATTTGTCTACAACACGGGATACATTTCTGTCTGTCTGTCTCTGTCTCTGTCTGTCTGTCTGTCTGTCTGTCTCTCTCTCTCTCTCTCTCTCTCTCTATATATATATATATATATATATATATATATATATATATATATATATATATATATATATATAATTGACTCTGCCGTCACCAGCACATACATATGATTTGATTATAGTGGTGATTGCTTTGTGCAGAATCAACCACTTTTGATGGACCGAATACAGAGACCTGACGCAGGGTTTGAATTCATAGTTGTCCTTCTCCTAGACCAGTTGCCATCCAAGGCTCTCGAACCTAGTCTGTCTTGATATTTACCAATATGGAGGGAGAAGAAGAGGATTAATACTTTCCCCAAGGGTATTAGCACGTAAGTGAATGTAATGGATTCGACTGGAATTCGAACTCTGCTCTCTGATTCCTTAATCCTAGCCGCCGCTATCCACTACACACACTCACTCTCTCTCTCTCTCTCTCTCTCTCTCTCTCTCTCTATATATATATATATATATATATATATATATATATATATATATATATATATATATATATATATATAGGCATGTTAATGGTATGAACACATATGCATAACGTTACACTTTGAAAAATGTATATAAACATTGACAGTTAACAGTTTACGTTTCAGTGAATTAATATCCTTCTTAAGTTAACACTTTTTCGAACGGGCATGAATTCACTCGTTACAAACAGTTCCAGTGAGGTATAACGTTGTGTTGTTGGCAACATGTAACTCTGTTCAACCGGTCAATAGAAGGGGGAGAACAACCAATGTATTGCCACGAGGAATTCCATGTAGAATTCAGCAAGGAGACCATGAGATCTATCTATCTATCTATCTATCTATCTATCTATCTATCTCATTTCTTTGATCTATCTATCTATCTATCTATCTATCTATCTATCTATCTATCTTATACCTTTGATGTATCTATATTTCTATTTAATTTCTTTGATCTATCTATCTATTTATCTATCTATCTATCTCATTCTTTGATCTATCTCATTTCTTTGATGTATCTATCTATCTATCTATCTATCTATCTATCTTATTCCTTTAATGTATCTATCTTTCTATTTCATTTCTTTGATCTATCTATCTATCTATCTATCTATCTATCTATCTATCTATCTATCTATCTTATTCCTTTGATGTATCTATCTTTCTATCTATCTCATTCCTTTGATTTATCTATCTATCTATCTATCCCAGTCTGTTTATATATTCATTTTTAAGCAGTATAGCCCCATGCCAGGCAGTAATACCACTAAAACACAAGGGGTTTCAAGGTTACAGTAAGAATTACGAACAGAAACATTAATAATGATGGGGACGAGAAAAGACTAATCAGAAGAACAGTACATAGCCATTGATATTGCATTTAATTTTTTTCAGATTAAAGTTGGCTGGAAAGAATCGCGCATGCGCGCTGATAGTTTTTAAATTTGTCGACTGCACAATATATTAAGATCAGTTGGGCATTGTCTGTGAGAAAAAGAGCACCATGACTCAATTCACTGCGTCAGAAATTTGGAAACGGCATTCTGTACTGATTGGCATTCTCCCCGGAAGATCCAATACGAACATTTTAGTGTTTGGGTGTCAATCTTTGGACCGTTCAGAGGTTTCGGAAAGAGGTGGATGAGTTTAATGGTGATTACGAAGGTATTGATGGCAACATTATGCCTTCATTCGTCTTCCCACAGGACACCAGACTCAACACGGAGGCCTACATCAACGGCCTTGAGGAGGTAGTGCTGTGTTGGGTCAAGAGGGTGGCTGCTGGAAGAACCTATGTCTGACAACAGGACTCTGCACCATGCCAAACAAGCAGGAGACCCCATTCATGGCTGTCAGACAATTTCTGCAACCACATCATCCCTTACAGCTGGTCACCAAATTCCCCAGACTGTAACCGCCTTGATTAATTTTTGTTGGTTGCAGTTAAGCAATAGAGCAACAAAACTTCTTGTGACACCAAAGATGAACTGAAAGCAAGGATTATGGCAGCATTCACCAACTTAAACTTGGAGACTGTTAAGATAGTTGTAAGAGATTCCGAAGTCTCCTGGACGTCGACGTTGAAGCCTATCGGCGATTTTATTGAATAAATTTACTCTTTAGTATTTCAACATATTTTTGTGTAATTTTGGTATGCATATGTTAAAATGAGATGTCATTATTTCCATTATTGCGTAGTAATTTGGACGACAATTCATTCATTGCACCCTGTATGTCATCATTGGACGTTTTCAGTCTTTAAAAGGTCTTTTAATTCGTTATAATTTTATGCTTATAATTTCAAGTCATTCAGATAAACTAGATGACTTATCCTTTTATCTTTGATCTCAGACCATATCTTGTATTTATTACCAGTTTCACATTTAATTTCGATGTTTTTAGTTCTGAACCAACCATTAAAATTCGAGAGGAACAGATCTGTTTTCAAAAATCACATATGTGGGACCCCGTTTCAGAAAAATGCTAATAGATTTAAGTACTGTTACTGAAAACTCGTTTTTTCTACATTAACCGGCTCACAGAAAGTAACTCAATTTTTGTAGAAAACCGGCTCCGATTATTTGAATTTTTGTATTCATGTATATTAAACAACCAGCGACCTCGTACGAGACTCACGTTATTCTTTGAATTGTCCGACGGTAAAATATTTTAATTTGGGAGGATCATCTTCAGAATATGTTTCACTATATTTTACTTCCTTAAAAAGAATATTTAAAAAATGGGGAAAATATATATTAGACGATATAATATTTTATTATAAATATAATCAATTCTTGTATTTCAGTGAACCTTTGGCCGGGGTGTTTGTTTGATCGTTTGTCACATGAACGAAACTGAAATTCTCATAATTAATTGCTCACATCTTTCGTTTCTTGATTCGAGCAACAATATTGCAAAAATTACGTTTAGTTAATTTTGTTTACATGATGCAGCAGTGGTCACTAGCTTTCCACTGCCTGCTTTCATCAAATCTACAAATAGAATTTATCCACAGTGAAAACAGTATTGACCTGTCACATAGATCTACAGACATATATACACATTTTCTGTTTATTCTATACTAACGCAATTCATTCAGCTGTACTGTAAAAAGATATACAAATCATTTGGTGCTAAGTTGTTCGCAATGTTTGAAATTCATTTCTTTCAATTTGAAAGAAAAATAATACTTAAATAGTCAAAAATTATTAGAATTTGTTGGGCCGTATTTGCAGATTATTATTTCATCGTTTGTACACGTATATTCCACTACACATATGTCGTACGAAATTTACAATTGTTGGTGAGATTTTGTATACTTTATGGGCCTTGATGATCCATATACTTCTTCTTATTATTATTATTATAATTATTATTATTATCAATTACGAATGTTAAGTATCTTATACACATTTCACTGTGCCGTCTTTACTGAAAAATAGTTTATTTAATGTTGGTTGTTTCTTTTGTATTACAATAGCGACTTTCCTTGATAATGACTGAGGCGTTCGAAAGTACCTAAATAAAACAAAACATGACAAGTTTTCCACAATTATATATATATATATATATATATATATATATATATATATATATATATATTATCATCCACGGACAGACTGTTTCGCTGTATCACAGCTCATCAGTGTGGCTAGATGTCCGGTTGTCTCTAGCCAGGATCGAAACCCGACTAAATTTGCGTCATTCAGGATTCTACCACTAAGTCGTTGGCGCACGGTAGGGATGAAGGTGATTTTAAGCGTATTTATTTTTACATAAACAAACAGTCAGTGAGAGAACTCGATTCGATTTACCGAAGAGTCTTGCATTATTAGCAGTAATAGTCACTGTTTACAAACCCACACTTCTCCACAGAGAGCTCAACTGAAATAAATTGTTCAGAAGCATATATATTGTCATCCACAGACATCAATGTGGCTAAACGTATATATATATATATATATATATATATATATATATATATATATATATATATATATATATATATATATATATTAAATTTTTTTATTAATACGACAGATTTTATCACTTTAAACGTTATTTTTAGTGGATACTCATATTTAAGTAAACGCTCCGTTTATTTATTAGACAGCATATATATTTATTTTCGTCTCAACTACCTGAATGTTTGAGAAATTTAATTAAAGAAAAAATTATCGAACATTCAGGCAGGTAGATGAAAATAAATAAATGTACTGTTTAATAAATAAATGGAGCGTCTATTCAATTACGGGTAGCCACTAAAAATAACCTTTCCCGGGATTATCCAATATGTATGTGTGTGAAAGATTTCTCAGAGTTAACCTCTAGAAAAAAAACAAGACAAGAAGAACGACATACAAAATATACAATCGAAACAAAAATAATAACACAATCCGCAATGATAAATTATATGAAAACAGATACATAATACTACCGACCAACTCTGTCACGTCCACTATCCAGAATAACCTATCCCATCTAAATAATCTGAAAATAGTCACAAACACTTCCAAAACCATTATGACTATAATCAGATCCTCAAACACTAATAGCAATAATATTTCTGAAGCAGGCAAAACCGTTCCTCCCAATATATCGGAGAAACAAACAGAAATAAAAACAAAAACAAAAAAAACGCATCTATGAGCACAAAAGAGATCTCACAAAAACAACTTAACTAATGCACTAGTCATACATAGAAACAATTTCAACCACAATTTTAATTTTTAAAAAGCTACAAACATAAAAAAGAAAATAACTCACTCAGAAGGAAAATCCTCGAGAGTGCCGCCATTGAATATTATTTAAAATTAATCTACTTCCAGGCTTCTTTCCAATAACACTTTTCCTGACAATTACTACTCTCCCAAACAAATGTACATAACTGTAGAAAGAAATAAAAAGAAAATGGTTGAATCCGTAAACACAAAATAAAAACAATATTTCCCCACGTGATAGTACTTGAAGTAATTTTCAGTTGACAATATGAATACAACAGAGTTTTCTAAATTCTTCTAGTCGCTAGGGACATTTTGTTTTGTTGTTAATAATTACTTTGTTTTTAATAAATTTATTTTGTTTTTGCCTTGAAAAAGTCCACATTGGATAAAACGCGCCGGCTAATAATACAGTTTTCCTACTGTCTTTTACCTTTATGCATTTTTTTTTCTACAGGTTAACTCTGAAAATTTTTCACACACACACACACACACACACACACACACACACACACACACATATATATATATATATTTGGGCAATAATCCCACTTTTATACAAGTTTCATTAAAGACATCTAATAAGATACAAGGATTAAGCTTTTTATTCAGTCCTTGTGTTCGAATAAGTGTTTTATTTTCTGGACATAAAGTGTCTAAAAACTGTTAGAATGTTCTACATATCTGACGGCTTTAGGCTATTCTATTACTCATTATCAAGAATGTTTTTAATGTTTATTTTGAACTGATTGTGTAGATTTTTTATATGATTGATGGAATTTTTTTCCAAACACAGTCAGCACATTGTGGCCGTGTTCATATTTGATATCATTGGGTGTTGGCTTTGATAATGATAGCATGTTTTCATTGAGACATGTTTCATTGAATAATTTAGACAAGATTTGTCGACTTATTTTCAATTGTACCCTTTCATATTCACGGACAAGCTTTTTGCTCTCATTATGGAAGGGAGAAAATTACTGTGTTGATACATATTATTTATTGCGAGTACTTTTGACATTAGAACAATGTCATCATCAGGGTTTTGTTTATTTTAAGTTAAATACTGTAGTGTTCATTTTCAAAGGCAAAATTTCTGTGTTCATCTGAAAGTTAACATTTTTCCGAGGTGATGTGCTGTACGATTTAGCAATGTGTAAAGCGTGGGAAAGTAACTAAGTTATGGTGTTGTCAAGAGATTTTTATGAAATAAGTATTAAAGCTATTTGTACAAACCTCGATATTTTAAAGTATCTAATGTAAAAATTTTCAAGACAAATATAATAGTGTTCATCATTTTCAAAGACGAAATACTCGGAATAAATATGTATCAGCACGGTAATATTCTATCTTCCTTTAATAATTAGACCAAAAAAGCCTCTTCGTGAATATGTAACGATTCAATTGAAAATAAGTAAACGAAAGTTGTCTAAATTATTCGTTATGGGATCTTACCCATAATAATAATAATACTTAATAAATACTGCTCC